CTGTGTTGACCAGTTGATGGAAGTATTTCAGATTGCATGTGAAAACCCCACACTGTACCCCAGAAGTGCATTAATGTACATAGTTACCGTTCAATAAAAAAAAAGAAAAAAAAATCAAAAAAAAAAAAAGTGTAACTCCTCTCTCAGGGTAAGAGGAATAAAAGAGACAAGGCTAAACTATCTCTGCAGTTTGTTCACATGTTAAAATAATTTTGTACAAAAATGTAATACTGACCCATGAATACCAGTGACAAGGAAGATCAAATTCCCATTGATCTTGGTGCAGTTTATGAATTTGTCGATGTTACTGGAGTCCACTGTCTGAGCCGACAGCAGCGATCCCGTGCCAATGCCATCACAAGCTGCAGAGACAAGACTCCCAGTTAAGAGATCGAGAAACTTTTTTTGGCCATTAAATCATCATTTTTAATGTAAAAATGGCAGCATTTTAAAAAAGTATTAAAGGGTTTTTTTTTCCTAAAAAGTAAAATAATCATTCATTCATTCAACTTTTACTACTCTTCTGCCTATTGTCCCTACACTATAGGCTAGTGACTTAGACTCACTGTAAGAATTACATTTTATATCAATACATACAATACATACATAACCCAAGCAAAATCTTCATCAATCCACACTTCCCATTATTTCATAAAATTATCTATTTTCTTATCTAAAATATTGTTTTTAATACTGTTGAAAAATGGGTCAATTCAATAAAATAATTTCATGGCCTATTGACTAATGGTCTACAGCTTACAATTTTTAATAAGAACAGTTTTCAGAACATATTGTAAAAGAAAGTTTAACATTTGCCCTCTCCTATGACACTCTGATACTCTGAAAAGTTTAGACTTTTCCATTTAGGACATATGGACTGTACTTTCAACCTGCTTAATTTAAGATTCATTCCGCTCATGAATTTGAGAATCCACAGCTGGAAGGGGTTCACACAAATTCTTTTTCTACTGAAATTCTATAGTATTAATTATCTCTGCAATATTTGTTTTATGGTAAACCTCCTTATATTTTTGTATATCTTACCTTTTAATTATTTTTCAGACCTAGAGAGTACATTTCATGTTTTATTTCTTTTTATGTTTAGCACATCATTTAGTATATAATGGTAAACATAATGTGTTCTAATGCTAAAATAATCACATGAACTCTTCTTTTGAACAAAACTTCCAAAATTTGCTAGTGGTGAATAAAATTCAACTTTATGTGAGAGTTCCTATCAAAGTTAACCCTGACTGTATCTGGATCCCTTTAGTAGATACAATGGAAAGCTAATAATACATGCTGTTATGACACTGATACTTTGAGGAACCGTCCAAAGTCATGGAACGTGTTTGTGAGAAGGTTTGGTTGTGGGAGGGAATGTGTTCTCTGAGGCTAACTCCTGTTAAAAAGCAACTTATAAACCGTGGTATAGGCTGCTATGCTAACCCAAATAATCTGAGCTATTACTTACCTTTCGGGCAAATATCAGTGCAAGGTTTACACATTTTAATCCCATTTTCTTCGACTTCCATCTTGGAACTAGGGCAGGCACGCACACAAGAACTGGAATCTACCACAAAGTTATCTGATGTTGAAAAAAGGTAAAATAAAAAATAATGTTCAATAAATGAGCTTAAGGCAAGGCATTTTAGGGTTTCAAAATGATTAGCATCATTAGTAGTGTATATGTCTTTTCTTCTAAAACACTCTCTCAGGATTTAAAGCTACCATAGTATCTTTAACCATCCACATTCAAATCCAAAGACAGTGTGTGTTAGCAACGAGTCTGCTTGGCTAGAGCTCCACATCCCGTATTGCCCCTAAGATAGAGTGGATTTCTCTCGTAGGCTTAGGAAAGAAAATGACATTGAGTTTGTGTTTCTCAATAGTTCCACTTCATTTCATGTCATGATGTAAGTCTGATGTCTAAAAATACTTCAAGTTCATGAAGCACAAATAAGGCTTAAGTTGAACTGTCTTGGATCAAGAAAGCATACTTCAGATCCAGGAGGATATGTTTAAAATGTGTTCTCTCTTTCAGTGGAGTGCCACAGAAACTTTCTCACATTTTTATATAAAGAAACAAAATAAAATTTAAGAGTATAGTTACTTAAGAAAAAAATACACCAAAACAGACATGAGGCATCCTGTTACTTAACACTGGGTGAAATGTTTAGGAGCCCAATAACCTGAGATATGCCAGGACATCCTCTCCAAAATAAAGGCTAATTTATTGCATCTAAAGCCTCCCACAATAAAAGGAAAATACAAAACATGATAGTCCATGCTGCTTTTAAGGGCAGTATCTTTCCATGCCTGGGATCCTGTTCTAGCACAATATAGAATGGTATGGAAGACTTCTAGCCTTGAGGCTATACACAGCAGAAAGGCATAGGGTATGGTTCCAGACTATGGTGCAAACTATTCTGCTACTTCGAGAGGCTCTATGATACTACAAGTATCTATGGTGGGGAAATATGCCATGTAGAGTTATGACAAGTGACAATAGGAAAATCACTAGAGGTAGGCCATTCTATCTGTAGCAAAGCATGGTACACCACTGAACAGTTACTCATCTGTTTCTGGGCCTTGATTGAACTCGTAGCCAGGACTGCCCATCATGAACAAAGTTTTTGTTATAATGTTGTAATGCTGGGCAGGTCCCAGGGGAGTCCATAATAAAATGAGAATTTGGGGTTGGTAATTTATCATGTTGGGATATGGTAATTAACAAAAATATTTTTGGATTAGTTTATGTATATCATATCACAGACTAACTTAAAAGAAAAAAAAATTCAGTATTTGTCTAGTCTAAAATTTAAGTCACTAACAGGCTTGGCTCACAGGCTTAGTTTGGAAAACTGGAGCTGTCTTAAGAAAACAAGGCCAAAAGGCTTCTAAATAGGGTCTACAATCCTTAATCCAGAATTACGAAATCTAAAAACTCCAAACAGCATATAGTTTTTGAAATTCATTGAGCATCAGAACATAAGCCTAATTTAAATAAGGATAATTTTATGTTTAGTCTTTAATCTCAATTTATTCTATTTGGCATAAATTGCTGCCGAAATACAAAAATGTTTAATTATAGGGAGTTTTGCAGGAACTTGCAGAAAGGGTGGTTACTTGATGTATAGTATGTGTGCTGTGGACCTGTGGCAGGTTGAGTTCCCCTGAAATAGAACTAAGTTATTAGGAAATATTCTCAGAATCACCACCTATAGGAGGAAAAAACAAAGCAGGATTGAGCTTTGATGTCATCTCTCTGGTGGTTGTTTACTTGGAATACAAAAACCTTCATACTTTGCATCCATTCCATGGAATTGCACATAATCCTCTACCCAAGACTCCCTTCACTCTCAGATATTTCAATATTCCTTTCTCAAGGTGAGCTACTGCTCATGAATCTAAACAAATTCCGAGCTCAGGTGACTTTGCACTGGGCATAACTAAGCTCTTTGGTAGGATTTTCTCTTGTCACTATCTTTCAAGTCAATTCTTAAGTGAGGCTGCAGAGAGAGAAGCTGCCGCTCATTTTCAGCTCACACCCACAGATGAGTTTTTGTCCTCTTCTGCCAGCTTGTCATAAGTGTCCTTTCTTGGCCCCCAGGCTTCCACAGTGTGAGCTAACTCAGAGGTATAAGAGGGACTAATCAGAGTCATTCTGGGGCAATAACACACAAAAAAATGATGTTTCATCAGCATCATGGACTTGTTTTGGCATCAGTTTTTCAGCAGCAATGACCTTGGAAAACTCATCAATGAATTTCTCCACTGCTTTATTACCACAAATTGTGAAAACTTTCTGCTGCATCTTTTCTCAAATTTCTGCAAAGCCTGTTGCATATTGATTGTTCCCTTAATTTTTTAACTCATTGTGCTAGATCTCTGCCTGTTTTACAGTCAGCATACAATCACATGGCAGGGCTTGTGTTCACTGCAACACTGATGAATCCACTCTTTCAATACACAATCAAGATCTTCAGTTTTAGCTTTATGCAGTATTTTTCAATTTTTTTTTTATTAACTTCTGTTCATCACTCTCGCATAGACCTTCAACAGTTTATCCTTCTGTCTTTTTTCAGGTCATATGTGGTGGTCATTCCTATGCCATATTCCTTTAAGGATGTTTCACACGTACATCACTGTCTTATTTCTCCAACAGCTTGACATTCTGTGCTACAGATAAACATAAATGCTTCATCTTATTCTTATAACCATTGCCCATAGTGGTATCTGCAAGTCTTTGTGAAAATTTCAATAATATCTTCATACCACAGAGCAGAAAAAAAGCAAAAATAAAAGTAAACAACGATAATAAACAAAACAGTGAGTCATGCACTAGGTCTTGGCCCCACGTGGGACACCTTGGAGAATCTATGTTGGTGGGTCTGGCGTGCACATGTGCCTTTGAATTACCCTTTGTGAGTGTGCTTGCATCGAGGGATCTGGGAAGACCTCAGAACGACAGATCATAGCTGAAGGGACTGGGA